GAGCAGTTGATAGTCTGTTCCACAATAAGCTCCTGGCCTTGTTTTGGCTGAAGATATTGAGCTTTTCCATTTCCTGTTGCCACAGATATAGTCAATCTGATTCCTGTGTACTCCATCTGGGGAAGTCCATGTGCATAGCTGCCATTTGTGTTGTTGAAAAAAGGTATTTGCAATGAATAAGTTGTTGGTCTTGCAAAATTCTATCATGCAATCTCTGTACTGCTATAAAGATCAGTTGTATGAGAGTAAATGCTTTGGTGTTCTTTGGAAGAACGGAGCTAATAAAGCAAGGGAACATGTCAATGTCCTTGACTGCTAATATGTTTAAATGGTATTCTGCACTAGCCAAAGAAGAGTTCAACATTACTCCCAAAGACCTGACTACTCTTACGTTACATCTGTTAAAACGGAAATGTCTACCCTGGAGAGGAAATGGGAAGCAAGGTGTTACACTGTGGGGAACTGCAGTAGATATCATGAAACAAAATGTATATGAACTGCTGTATGAAGAACAAGTTTGCTCTGTAAACTTTCACCCAAATAACAATAATTTTTTTAAAAGAGTAATAAATCAATAAAATAAAATGGCTACCCTGGAAAAGTCTCTAATGACATTCTATGTTTTAAGGATGATGATGATGATTACAAGGATAATCCACATATATTTCATCTGAACGACAGCCTCCCATAAAATCTAAGGGAATCCTATGACAGGACAGGCAGTGGTTGCTTTGTTGGGAACCAGTCTTCATTTTTAGACAGCAGTGTATTTATATGTAGGGTTGGACTCTCTCTCTACCCCAAACAGCCAATTACTATTATACTCTACAAATATCTTTATAGTTGTTGACTTGACCCTTTTTATAGCTTATCTCAGTTTTAAATGTATTTACTCCTTGCCTTATTTCAAAGCCTTTGACAGTTTTCTAGCTCCCATTTAAAATGATTTCTGACTGTCCTTTAAAAGGTGGTGAAATCAAGCCAATTAGAACCATCTCTAAAATAAAAACAGGCTAAGAATGAATGTTTGAGGACATCTGCAGCCTTAAGCCTGAGCTTGGAAGGACTTGTTTTTGCTGGGTAGCAGCATCAGGTTTTCACCTGTGTCACACACAGGGGACAGTGGCAGCTAGAACTTCCAGATGGAAAGAGGAGTGTTCATTGGTCCCAAGAACAGTTTAGTTCACCGTGCTGCCTGAAATGGCCTAACGAGAACTGTACTACCATAATGCTCAAGACCTCAGTACCTACTGTGGCTCAGAGCTTTCCTATTATCAGAGCAAGCACCGCTCTTACAAGGCCGTCCCAGCACCAAAGACCGTGAGAGGGGATAAGGTCCAGGAAGAGGCAATGCAGTAACTGGCCACTCTCTCACCAATGGACAAGGAGAGTGGCAGTCTACAGAAATGTGACATAGCCTACAGTCACACCACTGGACGATCACTCAAAAGGTCTTTTGATCTCAGGCTCCTAACTAGAGGCCACTTATAGCTGTTGTTAGTTGTCATCAGGTCTATTCCAATGCCTGGTGACTCCACGTGTGCAGAGGACAGTGCTCCATGAGGTTTTCAAGTCTGTGGCCTTGTGCCGGTAGATCACCAGGCCTCTCTTCTGAGGCACAGTTGGGTGCATTCGAACTGCCAGTCTTTGGGCTAGCAGTCGAGTGCTTAACCGTGTGCACCAGCCAGGGGCTTCACAAAAGGCCTGTCAGAAGCACAGGAGTAGTACTCCATCCAGCCAGGCACACACAGTGAAAGCACTGGATGAGCATATGCTAACAGTGGTTTTCTCCAAGTGGAAGGGTTGTCGGGACACACAGAGTGAAAGCGCTGCAAGGATAAGCATATGTTGACAGTGGTTTTCTCTAAGTGGAAGGGTTGTGGGTGATGCAATATTTATTTTGCTGATCTTTTTTCTCTATATTTTCTAGAATGAACAGATGTAACTTTTATAATCAAAAAATATATAGTGTGTAACTGCACATATATCATTATAATTTTTCTTTCTCTTCTTTTTTTTAAAGTGAGGGCGATTTCTCTCTGTGGGGTGGGGGCCAGGGGAAATAAAGGTGTGCAATTTCAAGTGAGGAAGGGAAGCACCAGCAACCTGCACAGTGGATGTGACTGCTCCCTGGTTCCCACCCTGGATCAAATCTGCTGTTGACATGGAGAGCTGGGAAAAGAAAGCGAAGTCAGAAAGAACCAAGAGTCCAGAAAAAGGAGTGATTATCTCCAAGGAACCAAGAACCAGAAGCTAAAAAGAGACAAGGACCCTCCCCCAGAACCAACAGAGAGAAATTAGAAGCAGGAAAGTGGCATCAAAGAGAGATGACAGTGTGACACAGGAAAAAGAACACAGCTTTGCCACCGGCTGGCAGTGAGATCTGGACAAGGCTTTTACTCTCTCTGGGCCTTAATTTGTGGTTTTGTAAAATAAGAACTAGATGACCCCTGTTATGGATTGAATTCTGTTCCCTGAAAATATGTGTTGTAAATCCTAACATCTATACTTGTGATAAAGGAGCTCTGGTGGCACAGTGGGTAAGGTATTTGACTGCTAACAAGGCTGACCGTGATTCAAACCCACCAGCTGCTCTGTGACAAGAGGAGGCAAACCCAATGTGGGTCGCTATGAGTCAGAATTGACTGGACGGCAGTGGGGGTTTTTGGTATACCTGTTGTAAGGAGCTCTGGTGGCATGGGTTTTATACCTGGTACAATCCCATTTGGGAATGGGTTTTCTTTGGTATGCTCATGAGGCAGTATTAGTGTAGGGTGTGTTGTAAGGCAGTCTCCTGAGATCCAAAAAGAGCAGCAAGCAGCACTGGGGGCAGCCAGACTCCATATACCTGATGATCTCTAAGGAACCAAGAATGAGAAGCTAAAAAGAGACAAGGACCCTCCCCTAGAACCAACAGAGAGAAAAAGGCTGCCCCTAGAGTCAATGCCCTGCATTGGGACTGCTAACCTCCTGAACTGTGAGCAAATAAATATCTGTGTGTTAAAGCCTATGTGACATTTCTGTTATAGCAGCACTAGAAAACTAAGGCAATATCAAATATTGCTCTTCCAGTTTTAACCACTGATCCATGGTTTATATGGAAATATTAATCCTGTCATAGAAAAAAATCATTAATTTCACTTACCAAATATTCACTGAGAACTTAAAGAACCATAATTTTTTCAGGTGTGTTTGAAGGTAGAGAAGCCTATGGGACTCAGCCTAGATCTGTGAAAAGATTTATGTAAAGAATGGTGCCTGGAACCTTGGTGCTTGACAGATATTAGCTATTGTTGTTGTTGTTGTTATTACTGTGTTTGCTATTACAAAGAGAGCTTCTGCTGGGTTCAATGGACTGCACCTGACATCTTTGGAGTTTATCAACATGAAACATCTGGGTGGATTAATAAGCTAATTCAGGGGTTGGCAAACTACAGTGAATGGGCCAAATCGGCCTGCTGCCTGTTTCTGTAAATCATGTTTTACTGGAACACACACACACAAACAACAGCGATACTCAACACAAAAGTCACATGGTGAACTCATTAAAAACACAGGTGTCCAGCTTCTACCTACAGAGAGTATGACAAATAAATCACTGGCAAGAGCAGAGAGTCCTGTATCCAGCTTAGTATCAGAATCATCAAGGGAGAGTTTGAACGTTCAGATTCAGACATCGGCCAGCTTTACTGAGTTAGAGTCTCTGGAGATGGAACCTAAGAATATGTCTATTTAATCAAGCCCCCAAGTGATAATGAAGCAGCCAGATTTATGTTGGGAACCACTGATTTTGAGCAAGTTAGAGCAAGCATTTTAGCTCTATATAGTGATAGCCAGGCGACACAATGTATTTGTGTGCCCTTGATAGGCCTGAGGAAGGGAGGAAAAAAAAAAAAAGGAAAGGAAAGGGAGAGAGGTAACAGAGGGAGAGGAAGAAGAAGTGGTGAAAAGCACATTCAGTGGGGAGTGGTGAAGTGACCCAATGGCTGCCAATCTTGATCTAGGCATTAGGAGTCAACCACAACAAAGGATGAAGTAAGAGGTCAAAGACATTACCCCCCTTGATACTATGGCTAAGAGAACAAAAGAAGATTAGCACAAGGGATAAGTAAGGCACCTTCATCATTACCAGAACAAGGGAAAAGTGAGTAACTCCCCAAGTTAGAAACTGCATTCCAGCCAGCTTTTCATATTTTTAGAGAAAATATAAATAAAAAATATAGTATTATTTCTTCAACATCTGAGAAGCAGCAGATGAAAGAAAGGGTCAAGCTCTCCCAGCTGAGGAGCAGTAGCCCAAGCAAGAAAGACTCCATGCCAGATAAAGTGTCACTGCAATAAGCAGGAGTGGGGTTCAGAGTGAGTCTGTCACAGCCCAAGACCCACTAGAGTCTTCCCTGTAACTGCTCCAGAAACAGGCAGAACTTCTTTGGTGGCTCAGTGCCTAAGGCATTAGACTGCTAATCAGAAGGTTGGCGGTTCAAACCTGCCAGCCACTCTGTGGAAGAAAGGGCAATCTACTTCCGCAAAGATTTACAGCCTCAGAAACCCAGTAAAGGTCACTATGAGTCAAAATAGACTCAATGGCAGTGAGTTTGTTTTTTTTGTTTGTTTGTTTGGAATGACAGAAGCCAAACAGTAGTACTTTAACATGATTTGACAGACATCAATGAAGGAGCAAACTCCACAACCTTAAATTTCACTAAAAACAACCTATACATCTGCTACCTAATGCAATAGAAATTCTCTGCTGATTTTGTCAAAAGAATAAACTTAGCTTCAAATAAGTTAAATTCATCTTATGTCATTCTTACCTTAGTCAGATTATTAAGATCAGTCATTTTTTTTCAGTCAATTTATTACAAAGAATATGATAAGATATGGAGGGTGGATAAATATTAAAATATGTTAGAGTATTTCTAGCAACTCTGGTAGCATAGTGCCTAAGGCACTTGACTGCTAACCAGAAGGCTAGCGGTTCAAACCCACCAGCCATTCCTCGGAAGAAAGGTTGGGCAATCTACTTCTGTAGTGATAACGCCTTGGAAACCCAAGGAGGGATCACTATGAGTCGGGTCCAACTCGACAGCACATAACAACAACAACAGCAGCAAGAGTATTTCTAATTCTCTTCTCAATGATGACAAAATTTTTCCCCAGTGATGGCAAGACCAGAGTGGAAAGTATATACACAGGGTCACCCCTTAGCTCAACTCATCCTGACCTGTTCTCCCTCAACCCCCCATTTAGTTTACCTTCTCTTGCTCAGCATGCAAAACTCTTGCCTGTGTGTTTTCTGTGGCTGTTTGAAGTGAGTTGTTCCTCTTCTCCATCATCAGGTTACTCTGCTCAACATATCTGTAAGATACATAAGGAAAAGCAATGCCACACACGACCCAATGCATACTCAGTCATCAAAACACTGTTCCGTAGCCATAGCGAAAACAATGTGAGAGCATTTTGTTTTCCTTAGATCTGCAGTAATCAAGTTTGGAGGGAGGACCCTGCCAGAGGTGAATTGCTCTGTATAAATAAAAAGAGGAATATGAAGGTGTATGGTGAGGAGTAATCAAGAGGGAAAGAGAAAAGGGGATGTTCTGGTTACCCAGTGCCACTCTGACAGGAATATACCACAAATGGGGCTTTAACAAAAGGAGTTTATTCTCTTACAGTTTGGAGGTTTTAAGTCTGAGTTCAAAGTGCCAGGCTCTAGGGGCTGGGGGAAAGCCCCTCAACCTTGGGTTTCAACTCTGCCGCCTGCTCCCAGCCCACAGGAACTAGAGGCTTTTCTTCACTCAGACAGCTGCTGGCTGCTGAGACTGAAAAGCCCAAGGTTGACAAGTTAAAAGGCACAGTCCCAATGTTACCAAACCACACAAACCAAAACCAAACCAAACTTACTGCCATCGAGTTGGATCTAACTCATAGCGACCCCTCCTTGGGTTTCTGAGGCAGTATCTCTATGGAAGTAGATCACCCAATCTTCCTTCCAAGGAGGGGCTGGTGGGTTTGAACTGCCAGCCTTTTGGTTAGCAGTCAAATGCCTTAGGCACTACGCCACCAGAGCTCCTCCAAACCACATGGCAGACCATTAATTCAAGTCCATTGAAAGTCCCAAGGTCAGCAGAGCACAGCAGGCTGCTGAAGAATGACATGGTACATGCAGGGGTCAAGTGTGCCATAAGCTAGAGACCATTCCCAAAGCTGTTTCTTATATACGGAAAGCAGACCACATACCCAAAGCAGCTACTCAGCTGCTCCAATAGATTCTACCATGGAGTTAATTACTAATATCATGATGGGGAATAACTATATTCAGCTGCCCAACCACCCAACCAGGCCCAGCCAAGTTGACATACAAACTTAACCACCACAGGGGAGAAGAAAAGTCCCTCCACTCCTGACTCCACCATGTGGAGACAAGAGACACTGGAGAAGAGAAATATGAGAGAATGATCTAAGTGAAATGCTGCCTGCTGCAACATCTCCCCTGAATACTCCTAATCTTCAGAAGGATTCACAAAAATTACAAAGGTCTGAATATTAGAGGAGTTCTACTTGATAAACCAGTCCACATAAAAAGGAGAAGAGTTGATATCTTAGTTGTCTCAGTATTAGCACCATTTTTACAGATGAGAAAACTAAGGTGACCAGCAATAAATGAAATACCCCAAGTCACCCAGCGAAAGAGAGGCAGCTGCAGGATTCAAACACAAATCTACCTTACATCCCAGCCTACTGGGTTCTATCGAACATGAAATTCACGTGTCAGGAAACAGAAGTAGGAGAATACAGATATACTTCCTTAAACAAACATGTCTGTTTAACTTGGGCATTTACAAATGAAACGCTTTTGTCCATTAGAGCCAGTGCCCCGTACCTGTCATTACCTCTGATTTCGTTCAATGAGTTCACTAATCTTCTCATTCCGCTCTTCAACCCAACTGCTCTTTTCAAGGATCTCTTGCTTCAACCTTTCATTTTCCTAAATTCAAAATGTGTCAGGTAAAATTTACGTGTCTTAAGAGAAAAGTGCCAAATACATGGGAATCAGCTTCAACTGACAGGTGACACTATTTAATATGGTCAGAAAGAAATGTTTCCTTCTGACTCTATAGATAGCAATAAGGCACTAAGGCCAAACCAAGCCATGTTGGATTCTCCAGAATTTTCTCATCCTCATGTACCACATGCTGTCATTTTTGAGGGCAGAGGTTTGCAAGGGTAGGACATGCAGGGAAAAGCAGGGGCGAGGCCTCAGGCAGAGTGTTCGTCCTTGATCCCCCTCACCTGAACGATTCGCTGGATGTTGCTCATGATCATGCTTGTTTCCATTGTAACCGACATGCTAGGAATGAGCAAGGAGTTCCCAGCACTGTGCTTCTGTAACTCTTCAACCTACAAAAAGGATGCCGGAAAGTATGATGTGAGAAAGTTTAAAACAGAGAAAGATAGTTTACCTAAGGTCCGACCACTTTTTTGAGGGGGCAAATGGGTTTCTAAGACAACCTCTAAATGTAAGCTAGTGTTTTCTTTTGTTAACTGGATCCCAAAAAAATGGTAACTATGCTTCTAGGGAAATAACTGCTGACAATGAGTCCAGAGAACCAAGGGAGAGTTTACCTAAAGTTCTACTTGCTCCCTGTTTGTACCCTCTTTTTAGACTCCCAATTACAACACAGCCCCAACCCTGACTCAGTCACCTTAGTCATGAGATGATCCATTTTATCAGCCACTTTGCTGACTGCCATGCGAATTTCAGAGTTATGCTGTCGGGCTTCAGTCATGAGAAATGAAGCCATGTCACCTGATCCTAAACAGACATAAGCCAAAAAGAAACTTACAAAAGTGGAGCAGAGGATACTGTATAAGGAAAAGCCAACAGCTTAGCAGAGGAAAGAAAGGAATTAACACTTCCACATACTGGGAAATGCTGTAGGAGATTTCACACTGTCAGGTGAAGATGTAGAGGAGCTAGTCAAGGCAAAGGGTTCCAAAGCTAACAACTAAGCTACGCTCCTGCAAAATGCATCCAGGGCTTTGGCTGGGCCAAGGGCACAAATACACACTCTTTGGATTGCCGTAACACTGGCAGCTGAGGTAGCTTCCCCATTCATCCAAGTGCATGCCAGGCATGGTGCCAGGTACCAGGGATACAGCAACGGTTCCTGCCCTCGGTAAGCTCACAGTGGGGAGACTAACATATAAAACAATCATTACAACAGTGTTTTATGGTTGAAAAATGGGCTGTGTACAAGGTATTAAAAGCAGCACAGACCATAGGAAGATTAACTGTTAGATGAGAACATACAGTTTTATCTCTGGAATGAGAGGAAGGAAGGAGGAACAAAAATCGGGGATGGCTTCACACAGGAGTTGACCGTTTTGATGGACGAAAAGGGTTTCCCAGATGGAGAAGCAGGGAGGGCATCAAAAAAAGGCTGAATCAAGGAAACCATTACTACTCTAGAACTACAAATTATGTTGTGGGATAGACTTGCTTCTTCCTTCCCCTGTCCAAAGGTGATTACTATAAAAAAGACAACCTGTAGAACAAGTAGGATACCACCCAAACTGTCTATATTTTACTTTGTTTTATTTTTTACACAAGATACCCACACTTGTCCATGCATAGAAGACACTGGAAAAATTACTCAAGAAACTATTAACAAGAATTTCCTCTGGTCAGAGGGTTTCACTGCCGTGGAAGGACAGTACGCTCTTTTCATTGTCTGAATTTCTTTTATAGGAGTATATTATTTTCATAATTAAAAAAATTTAACAAAGTAGCTTTCATTTGAGATACTGAACACTCAGAGTCATCATTCTTTCTTCCAGTTCGCTCCAGTGTTTTCCTCTTTCTGCATTTACTATGAGCTCTGGCCACCCTGGTGGAGTAACTTATACAGGGCCAGCGGGAGATGATGACACAGGAAACGAAGGACTAACGGTAGGCATGAGGGACTTTTTTTTTTTTTTAATTTTGCTTTCATTTATTTATTCCTTCTCTCACGGTCTTCCTTTCTTTATATAATCCAAGTTTCTGGTATCATTTTCCTTCTCTCTGAAGAACTTCTTCTAATATTTATTTTTATTTATTTATGAACATTTTATTGTGGTTTGGGTAAAATACAGAGCAACTTACTTTCCCATTCACCAATTTACACACATTTTGTTTTGTGACATAAGTTGCGATCCCCTCAATGTAACAGCTCTCTTCCCACTTCCTCCATGGGTTCCCCATTTCCATTTGCCCATCTTTCTGCCCCTTCCTGCCTCCTGAGCTTTGTTTTGGAGGAACTTCTGCCCTTTTGGGTTCACATGGTTGACCGACCTGAGCAGCGCATTCCTCACGGGTATTGCTGTTCATTTCACAGGCTGTCTACTGTGGCTGAAAGGCGACCTCCAGGAGGGGGTTCAGTTTGAGGGCTGCAGGGTGTCTAAGGGCCACAGCCTTGAGGGGACTTCTACCAGTCTCTATCAGACCAGTAAGTCTGGTGTTTCTTATGATTTATTAATTTTGTTCTATGTTCTTCTGCCACCAGGGCCTCCCGGTGTGACCCTGATCAGAGTGGTCCCTGATCAGGGACCGTCTAGCTCTTCTGGGCTCAGGCTAGTGGAGACTGAGGTCTGCATGGTCCATTAGGCCTTTGCACTAACTGCTTCCCTGAGTCTTTGATTTTCTTCACTCTTCTTTGTTCCGCACAGGAAGAGACCAATAATTGTACCTTACATGGCTGCTCACAAGCTTTTACAATTCAGCTGCTACTCACCAAAGTGGGATGCAGGACATTGTCTTCATGGACTATGTTTTGTCAACTGACCTAGATGTCTCCCAAGACTATGGTCCTATGAGGGACTTTTCTGGGGTGATGAAAATGTTTTGAAATTGGATAATGGTGATGCTGCACAGCTCTGTAAATTTACTAACTAAACCAACTGTACACTTAAAATGAGTGCATCTCATGGTATGGAAATTATACCTTAACTAAACTGTTTGAAAAAAAGAAAGGAAACGAAGAGTAGAGAGCTACTGGAACAAACATTTTAAAAAGGATGGGAGGGACACGGTGAGAGCTGGGCAGCTGGGAGGACTGCTCCCTACCTTGACAATGGAGAGGATGAGACAGTGGTGCTGGGTACAAGGGCCGGAGAGGCTGCAGCTGGGAAGTGACAGTCGATGCCTGGGGGTAAGCATAGGTTTGCACACCTGCATAGGGCTGAGAAAATCACACGTTTACAGCTGGTGTAGAAAACATTCACGTCTCTCTCTTTTGCTTACATTTTGTCTCGATGGAATAAGGTGGATAAGCTGGGAGGGGACTCACACTTACTACAATTTGAGCAGGATGACATTGGGGTTTGAAATTGGTTAAGAATTGTAGCAGGAGGCTTCTCTATGTGAACCAGTGAAACCCAGTCACTGAACTCCTACCCAAAAATCAAGGGGGAGGTAGGCTGGGTCACTACCCAGCCCTCTGGTTTTATGACTTAGGTAGGAATTAATTTCCTAGTTATCAGGCCAAATGAATTTCCAAACAAAATTACAGGTTAAAAAAAAAAATTGAGGTAGAAGCAGAGCTATTCATTGAGATTCTAAACCAAATCTGCCAGTTTCCAAAGCTGTGACAGTCCCTCTGTGTCCCCATGACATTTATCTCTGTGACAAAGTGTCTCATTGTCTTCTAACCCTTGGTCTCAACTATAAAATGAATATGATAATACACCTCATAGGGTTGCTGTCTGGACTAAAAGAAATGAGAAAGCCCCTAACAGCTGGTAAGTTAAATGCCTGGCAGATAGTAAATGCTCAATAAATATCAGCTATCATCAATGATATATAACATGGTTATTCTCCCTGGACACAAAGAAATCCTGACCACCCATCTAATAAAGAAAATCTTAGTCTATAGGACAGTAATTCTCCATTAAGGGGTAGAGAAGGGCAAGGGTGGGACTTTTTCAATTTTGAGCACCCCATTCTAATAGGGCATAGCTCCCCACCCCTACCCTGCCCCATTAAAAATCACTAAGGAAGTGAGCCACTGTTATATCTGGAAGTGTGTCTTATCTACCAAGTGTGCTCAGGCAAAAGAAAGATCCTACCACCCTGGAAAACACTCAGCAGACGCAGACAGAAAAGTACCTACTTTAAGAGATTGTGTTGGAGGATAACTTGAGAGCTATTTTCCATATAGTCTCCATCCCCAACCCACAGCTACTCTGTTGAGTACAGTGCAGAATCCTAGCCTATCGGCTGTTTGATAAAAAGAAAAGACCACAATAGACTTCAATACATAGTCCTCAGGGTAGATATCAGTGAAAGGAAAAGAGCACAAACCTTGACTAGGCCTTCACTACCCACCAGGCCTTGTACTAGACCTTTCCTTGCTAGTGCATTTAATCTTTATAATCTTTGCCTGGTTTACAGATGAGAAAACAGCTGTTTGGGAAAAAGAAAAATGACAAACTCTGACTTTTGGGAACTGCTGTTGTGTGAATTGAGCAGTAAGAAGAAAAAGAAGTAGAACCATAGTAAATTACACCTTATAATTAACATGGTTTAAAAATGTTCTTACCTGAAAAGACTGGGCATTTCCAGATACAGCTGAGTGGGAATCGAGAGATGTAATTGGCATTAAGGCAGCAGACGGTGCTTGGAGGCCAGAAACAGATGGCTGAGGCACTAAGATAAAACAAGAAGTTTTCACTGCTACTCATGTTGGTGCTACCACTTTAGATGCCATCAAGCTTCACACGTAATCACCTTCTTCACCTCGTCTCCCAAAGCCCACTCTACCGGAGCCTCAGCAATGGAAGACCGAAGGACAGGGTGTCCTCACGTGCATCTGACTCAGATCTACATCCCATTGGTGGTGTGGGTGACCAATTCGGAAATTTACAGATTTCCAAAACTGACAGTGCAACAGAGCTGAAGACGCAGTAAGTGCACCAAATGCAGCTGTAGGTCTGAAAATGCTCTGCCCAGGACAAACTGACAAGCTTCACACTAGTCTGATCCTTAGGACAAAGACAATGCAACCTAACAGTTCAAGAAACAGTGATGGCAATCTTGGTGCTGACCCAATTGAAGGCCTATGAGCCTCAGAGAGGTTCTGTACCTTGTGAGGTCATCTGTGGTAACGCTGGATGGACTGCCTGAAGAGAGGGCTGGATGGACGACATCGCCACAGGCTGCCCGGCTCCCTGCAGAGCACTCACATCCTGGAACATGACATGGGGTTTGGTTACTGTGTATCAGTGCATACTTGAAGACTGCAACGTACAGGCCAACCTAGGCCTACCTACAACACAGGCTTTCTAGGCAAAGAAGAGGAGAGAAAGGCAAGCAGAAAACCAACAGTTTAGGGTTTGGACATGGGCATAAAGTACTTATTCTATTCTATTAAATCCCTTCTCCCTTTAAATCATATAAAGTAATTAAATACAGTCAATTTCCTCAAACATTACCCATTGTTGATGCTTTACAATCTGAAGCAGCTAAACTAACAGATCTCCAGAATATATCATTTTCTAAACCAGCAGCTACTGTAAGATTGATCTAGTGTGTTCCCACAGAACCCACCCACTGCTCTGTGGGAGAATGATGAGGCAGCCTGCTTCTGTACAGACTTACAGCCTTGGAAACCCTATGAAGCACTTCTACTCTGTCTTACAAGGTTGCTATAAGTAGCAATTGACTAGATGGCAATGGGGTTTTTGTAGTTCAAGAGGTGAAAACTCCTTGGCATAGTTTTACTTTAACATCTCCTCATCCCGATAGTCTCTTCTGCAAAAATATCCCAGTTTTAGATTACTACAAAACTAAGTCAAGCTAAATGTCTAACAAAGAATGAAAGAAATTATGATAACTGGGTATAATAGAATACTGAGCTACCTTTAAGGAAATAATGCTGATGAATTTATAGTAATATAAATGTTCATGATGTAATATTAAGTTAAAAATCAGGTTACAAAACAAGATATAAAGAAGAATCCTCTTTAGTGAAATATGTTACCTCTTTATCTCTAATTTGTTACTTTATAATGAGTAAATATAACTTAACATTTTTTAATAAGCTTTTTTTCTTATTTCTAAGAATATCACATTATCTAAATTTCATTAATTGAGTACCTATTATGGGTTGGGCATTATACTGCTCCCTAAAAAGTGATCTTTACAGACTTTATGGATTCTAGTAAATTATTACACTAACTACTTAAATCTTCCTGGTGTAAGTAAGTGATAGATATATGGAATTGCTTCCAGTTCTCATGAGAAGTACTACACAAATAGAAATACAGGTTCTAATCCCAACCCACATCAATTTGCATATAAACTCTCTAAATAATGATCCTGGATTAGAGGTAGAAAGAGCAATAATTTCAACCAAAGATGGCACCATCTCCATTATTGATTCTAATAAAGCCATAGGAACATACTTCAGTTTCTGAATCATTGGAATCCAGCTGAGGTGGAAAGATGGGCAGCATGGGCTGACCCATTTTGGCCATCCGAGATATCAACTTGGCCTTGACTGTATCAGGATTCTAAAGAAAGGAAAGTCACAGAAGTCACTGTAAGCCATCTCCATCCCCTTGGCTCTTATATCAAATTCTTCAACGAGTTCCTCTGCCATGTTCATCTAAAGCCATCTCTTCTAGAAAATGACAAGCAAAGATTTATTGGCTAGAAGTATACATGAATCACAATTATAGCAATAAAAATAATCGCCTATGCATTTGGAATGGACAAAAGGAGCTTCATAATTATAACTTCATTTCAAACAAATCTTCCACCAGGCATAATTATTCTCATTAAATGGATTAAAAACTGTAGTTCAACAGGAATACAAGATGGTAATAAGAGAAATGATGTG